GCAAATTTAAAAAATATTATAATCAAACTTAACTCTGTGAAAAAATTGTGTATTTACAATAACTCATGAATAAGTAGTTTTTGAGTAATAAAGTTTTTTAATTTTATTACCAATCAAGTCAGTCCTATTAGCTAAAACGTTGAGAAAATGGGTTAGGGGTACAAGAAATGATTTTACCAGAAACATGTACATTCCATATCAATTTTTTCAATCATTTATAACAAAGAAGTTGAAATGATATGCTTTTTTTCAGATTTGTCCACTTCATCTTTATTGAAAGTATGAAAAAACAGTTTAATTGTAAAACTGTGATTTTTTTTTCATGATAATAGCCCAAAAATGGATAAAAATTGATGAAAAATGGAAAAATCATCAGAATTGAGTACTTTCAAATGGCCGTAGCAAAAAAAGAAGTGCACCACCATATGATTTTTTCTTCACCAATTATTTGTTTACAGTCAAATAAACCCAAAAAATCAGGTTAAGAAAAAAAGTTTAATTCTAGAACTTTTTGGCTCCTCAGAGGTGTACATCCTTAAATATAAACTTATACTTGCCTCGTATTGGTCTTTTGAGGGTTGAGCGCTCAAAAATATGTTTAACCGCCACATTCTTTATATGCCTGTCCCAAGTCAGGAGCCTGTAGTTCTGTGGTTGTCGTTGGTTCTTGTCAGTCATATTTTGTTTTTCGTAAACTGTTATAAATTAGGCCGTTAGTTTTCTCGTTTGAATTGTTTCCTATTTTTCATGTAGGAGTCTTTTAAAGCCGACTATACTATATGGGTTTTTGTCATTATTGAAGGCTGTACTTTTGCATAGAATTGCTTTCATCCACTTCCTTGAACTCTGATGGATAATTGTTTCATTGGCAACCATACCTAATATCCTTATTTTTGTATTAATATCTATACTAACACCTTGCATAAAATAATGGTTGTAGCTTTAAAACAGAAGAAAGAGTTAGCTGGACAAACCATGTACCCTATGTGAGATGGACGGGCGGACAGGGATAAAACAAGATGCCTGACATTTTATTGCAGGGGCACACACATAGTTGATCACGAAGTTTTCACGATATGTTGCCTTGTAAACCAAAATATATGTGTAAAAGTTTAGAAATTGCCACATTAACGACAACCTTACTTAGAATTTTCAATTATGGCATTTATAAAGTCTCAATTAAACTATGACGTCCGTTTACTTTTACGATAATCTTCTCCTCTGAAACAACTTGGCCAAATACAACCAAACATCATTTGGGTATCTAGTTTGAGAAAATGTGCCCAATGAAACCACTTGCCAACCAAGATGGCCGACAGGGCTAAAAAAAGAACATTGGGAATAAATGCAAGTTTTGTCTATTATCTTGAAAACTGCTATAGAGAGAGAAATTCTGACATGGCAGCAATGTTTTGAATGTAAGCTCTATCTATTGTCGATTTATGTAAAAACTGTCAGACGACTGTTTATGCAAGTTATTGTCCTTAAATAACGGATAATATCAATTTTTTTTCAATTTCGTCTTTTATCTTGAAAATGATAACAGAAAGAGAGAAACTTCCTACGGCAAATATGACCAACAAGACAAGATCTACAAATGGCCGAAATCGTCAGACGACTATTCATTAGTCTAGAGTTATTGCCCTTTAATGATTGTTGTACCAATTATTTTGCATTTTTGCCTCATACCTTAAAAACAACAATTGATCGAAAAAAATTTAAAACGCAAAAATAATCAACAAGACCTGACATACAAATAAGTCATTTGCCGATATAATCAGCTGTATTTGGAGTTGTTGCTCTTTAAGGACGATTTTTGCCACTTTTTAGTGTTTTTGTCTATTATCTTGAAAAGTATGATAGATAGATCGACAATTTAAATAGCAAATACAATTATCAAGACAAGATCCACAAATAAGTCAACATAGTCAGATCGTAAGTCGAATAGTGGTTGGGGTTCTTGCTGTTTAATGACGATATTTACCAATATTTGGCGATTTTATAAAAATAAGATTTGGTATAATATATATTATATTGAAAACAATCAGCAAGTTCCGAATAAAAATACCTGTCAAGAGACACACTATTTCAGTCAATATCCGTCTGTTTTATTCATGGAAATTGAAGTGTTATTTTTGTTGTTGCTACTTAGTTTGACACTTTAAATTACCTGGAAATTATTCCGGGAAATCAAATAAACCCTATTAGATTAATAAAAACGATTATCATTACAGTAGGATTATGATGTTGATTCGTTTTATTTTAAAACCTAGTGAAATATAACATTGAAGGATGGTATGGTTTTAAATTAAATGCTATAAATCGTTATCTTGTAGGTGATAGTTTAAAAATATTGACCAACTTGATGTTTATTGACCGTTTTCATTATGTAAATTTGATATATCTGTCAGATCTTTCCATTAACAAAAATTGAATTACATTTAATGACTACAACATTTCAAGCAAACACGACAAAGTATTGCTGGTGAACATATCAATTAATGGTTTTGTAATTTTAGCTCATTGCATATTAATACATGTAATACATGCAAAATCTTTCATAGTTATTAAATGGTAATTATTTCAGACAGTTAGAATCTATTGAACGCATGATTGTTCTCGCTGACGTGCAGTTTTATAATGTATCCATTAGACTTATCAATAGAATTAATTTTAATATTCTAGTATTTGAGATAGATGATATTCTTCACATGAATTGGAAGCAAAATGACATATTTTGTAAATTGTTAATTAATACCTCAGCGTTAAGTGAGAATTACATGTGATTCATCCATTAATTGTTCAACTCTTTCACCAACGGTTTTGAAAAATGAAAAATGAATAATACCAATAATGGATGTACTTCAGTGCAGTTAATTAACTACATTTGAGAAACATAAATTGTCCACTTATATGGAATTTGAAAAGTTTAGTTTTTTTTTTTAATTTTTGTTGAAGCAAATGAGCGTTAAATAGGCTAGCTACTTGTCAGTCATACGAAAAAGAAATACAGTAGACCGCGGGCAACGCCAATCAGTGAATTACAGGGACAGGCACATATATAATATGGTGGATTCATTTGTATGTTTGTGATCGCTTAACTCTTCCCTTACCTGCGATAATTGTGTAACAGCACAACATAAGAACAAACTGTGTGAAAATAAGATGGAAATGGCTTGACCGCTCAGATTGGAAGGAAGCACAAAAACAACTATCATGACGACAAATGACAAAAAGTGCCGATCTTAGAGTATTCGAATTTACCAAAAGCTAGTTCAAAGCCAAAAACCACAAGTATACAAACTATGTTCTCCGAGACTAATCATGTAGTAATTAGCACACATCACACGGGTTTTATGTAAACAAAACAGCATAAGAAAAACATGATCTTGTGCATTGCCATATTATCGACAGGGCCATATTTTTTTTTCATAAATGTATTTAAATACATAGGGCGCATTGCATTTGCGCCAATGTTTGAAAAAAAAATGCAACAATTCATTTGCGCACGAAACGTTATAACGGAATGTTATGTTATGCTATCAAAACTATGTTGTAACATTATTATTAAAAGTATATTTTCAGTGTAGATCTATTATTTATACATTTACCTGAACTATTGGGGACAATGAAATGCCAATTGGCGCAGAAGCAAAGCACGTGGCTGCGTATTTATACATCCCGTATAGACAAAAGGGCGCATATATAGACATGTCCCCGCGACTCTTCCTTGTCTCTCTATGAAAATGAGATGCATACGTATCCTCTTTTATAATAAAGATCACTCGGTATGCACACTTATGAACTTGTGTCAAATATCTTACTTAATTCACCTCTTTCATATTTGAATGGATTGATGTTTTGATAATGTAGGGCATTGTTAACTTTTTGAATTAAAATATTCGTGGTTTTAAATTTCTTGGGTCTGAGCTTTTTTCTATAGAAATTAAACCCAGCAGAGAGCTTTGAAGGCACCATATTCATTATTGTTTTGGTTTATCTTATGTTGGTTGTTCGTTCATAAAACCTGATTTAAATATGAAAGGCTAATATCTAGCCTGAATATGCATGATATATTTGCCACTGTACGTTATGCAAACAACAATTATTGTTCTGCTCTTTGGCCGATTGTTTTGTCTCTATGACACATTTCCCCGTTTTCCATTCTCAATTCTTTTAGATCATTTTATATGTAACGGTAGGATAGTTATATAAATGACCAATTCAAATTGTTTAGCATAATTAAGTGCACTTTTACGGTACAATTGTAAAGTAACTTATTTTCAAAATCTGTTTGTGCCCTTCTGTGTCCCTTTTATAATTTAGTATACACGCTAATGCGTCCTTGTTAAAATTGAAATTGTTTATCATAATTAAGTGCACTTTTACTCTACAGTTTTAAAGTAATTTTTTTCAAAATCTGTTTGCGCTTATGTGTCCCTTTTATAATTTAGTATACACGCTTATGTGTCCCTTTTATAATTTAGTATACACGCTAATGTATCCTTGTTATAATTTAGTATACACGCTAATGTGTCCTTGTTATAATTTAGTATACACGCTAATGTGTCCTTGTTATAATTTAGTATACACGCTAATGTGTCCTTGTTATAATTTAGTATACACGCTAATGTGTCCTTGTTATAATTTAGTATACACGCTAATGTGTCCTTGTTATAATTTAGTATACACGCTAATGTGTCCTTCTTAAATTCAAATTGTTTATCATAATTAAGTGCTCTTTGTTGGTACAGTTGTAAAGTGTCCTTTTTCTAATTCAATCTATGCGTTAACGTATTCTTATTTAGATAAGCACTCAGTCCAACTAAAATCCTCGTAGGAACAGTGTTAAACTGTTATTTTCATTTTGCCGGAAGTCCTTACAGCTGGACCATTTTCTATCTGATGTGTAACAATTTGGCGATGGGAAAGAAATAATTTGGTATTTTTGCTCAATATATGTCACAGAAATAATATTTTAATTGTATTCTTTTCTGTAGTTAATCCAGAACAGATACGACGGCTCTGTTAACTTTTACCAGACATGGAACCAGTATAAAAACGGATTTGGTAGCTTATCCGGAGAATTTTGGATAGGTAAAGTGTATATAGTAGTTTTTTAGTCGGTGTTTAACTTTCAGAAACTAGGCTGTAAATATCATATCGACCAATGAAGGAAAAAAAACAAGAAAACCCGGAGAGAACGATTGACACTGTCAATAATTTTGAAAGAAATGTGTCTTGTGAAGGATTTTCAATTTTGTTAAAGGTCATTTATTTGAATTTTTTCTATCACACATGTACAGGTTGTACATGTTCTAAAATGTATGTTGACAAAGTTATATTCGCCTGAAAGCCCGGGTCTCATGAAGCTTCTATGGGAAAATAAAAAAAAAAAAAACATCTATGGGGAGGAGGGGTGTAATGTTTTTTTTAATTTTTGTACCACGTAGGCAACACATTTTATTTTATTAAAGAATTTAACATTAAAAGAGAGGCGAAAGATACCAAAAAAAAGTAAAATAAAAAAAATACCGAACTCTAAGGAAAATTCAAAACGGAAATTCCTTTATCAAAAGGCAACATTAAAAGCTCAAACTCATAGTCGAAAATAAACTCACAACAAAATGGCTTAAAAAACAACAACAACCGACAAACAACAGTACACAAAACAAAACATAGAAAACTAAAGACTGAGCAACGCAAACCCCACCAAAAACTGGGGGTGATATCAGGTGACCCGGAAGGGTATGCAGATCCTGCTCCGCATTTGGCATCCAAAAGTGTTGCACATATGATTGATTGATTGATTGAGTGTTGGTTGCTTAACGTCCAGTGGCAAATATTTCATACATGTTCAGGACAAGAACAAATTAACAATAAATACAATAGGTAGGTCCGGTAATAGAGGTCAACTGGGTTGCAGGTTGGGAAAATTTGGACTACCACGGGAAAATGAGGGTATATTGGATAGGGACAAACAGTTTGCCGTGCAACAGGCCACCAACGGACGCCTCAAATAGTTGTAGCAAGGGTTCTTAACGTGCAGAGAGCGTGACACGCTCTCTACACGAGGCATCGGATTTAACGTCCCTATTCTGACCGGACGTGGCTGCGTACTTGATACATCCCGCACAGCCAAACGGACGCCCCACTTTGGCAAGGGTTTTACTGCCGGTTGGAAGAAGACCTGTAGTGAACATTTTTTTATTCCCCGGTCACCCTTGGTGATAAGTTGCTCATATGAGTACAAACTATGTGGTAAGTCTAATTCGGTAGATAACTTTCGGGGAAATTGGGACGGGATTGTAGTTTCGATTATTGGAACATATTACAAAAATCTAATTGCAAAAACGTTCAGTTAAAAATAATTTTCCTTCTCCCTGATCCACATCTTTTTATTTCAAAGTTCGGAATTAAAAATCAGAATTTTGATTTTGATTTTATTGATATAACCATACTCCAATACAACTTAATACTGAAACTCATATAGATATGACGAGAAAACAATATCCGCTTTTTTCAAAATCATGTTAAAACCTTTAAAAACTCATTCCTCATAAACAAATGGAAAGTAAAGTAACAAAAATACCGAACTCCAAGGAAAATTCAAAACGGAAAGTCCCATATCAAATAGCAAAATCAAAAACACAAACACATCAAACGAATGGAAAACAACTGTCATATTTCGGACTTGGTACAGGCATTTCCTTATGTAGAAAATGGTGGATTAGACCTGCTTTTATAGCTAGCTAAACCTCTCAATTTATAAAAGTCGCATAAAATTAAAGTTGTATATTTGACAAAAAATTGCCATTTTACATATAATATTTGGCACGGACTTACCCAAAGAGATATTTTGAACACATTAATATATGGTATGATACATGTGGTGGCAAATAAATGTTTTGGGGTAAAGCAACAAGTTTGAAGCCTTAATTCATAAAGAATAGAATATACTTGATTCCAAATTAATGGGCCCACAAGGGGAAACATGAGATTATAGCAATACTCAAGTAAACATATACAAAAGAACAATACTAAAGGAAAGAATTATTTCATTCATGTAATATAAATGGGACAAATATACATTTGTAGATATCTACTTTTTGATTTTCGAATCTAGGGGCAAAAAAGGTGACCTTATCATACCTTCTCCTTTACAGTTTCTAAAGGAAAAGACTTTTTTTCTAAATAGAGTCTAAATGATGCACCTTCAATGTTCTCCAGTCAATTATACTTGTTGAAACAAACTTTCATTTCAATGATCACCAGTCTTTGAACATGTGAATATTCTCTTTTGACTTAAAGTGCGTTCACATGGTACGATTTACGTTCGATTTGTACCCGGGCACCTGCTTTCGACTAAATTGCACCGTGTGAACACTAAAATCGAATGTCGTTTTGTTTATCGAATGGACAATCGTATCGTGTAAACAGAACGCTGTACGATTTACCTGGGCGGCGATATCAAATCGGACGGAAAATCGTACAATGTAAACTCATTTTTAGGCTTTCAACTCTTCAAGCTTCTCAATTATGGGTTAATTAGCGAAAACACATATTTTGAAATTTACGGCATCCAATGTAAAGAGTATTTCATACTTAGACTTACACTTCTAGTAAAAACGATCGATCTCTCCTGAGATCAGTCTGAAAAGACCAATCTTTAGTCTAATGTAAACGGGAGAGATCAATCTTCAATCGCTCCAGAGGTGGTTTAAAACAAAATCTATCTTTTTTAATCGATCTTTCTTCAAGTGTAAACGCATAGATCGATCGCCATCGATCCTTCTAAAAGTGAAAGTTTTATACTTAGATATGTAAATAAATCTGCGCTTGTCCAGTTCGGAATATCTTTATAAAGGTCTGCCTGTCGATGTTTCATCCATACTTCCTTATTGACAGAACGTGGGGACATGGCAAGTACACAATGAAATAGATTCCCCCGTTTTCGCATCATTCTTCTAAATCAATAAACCCTTAACTCCTCATTTTTCGAACACATTGACCTTTCCCTTTTATTTAAGTGATAGTCTCCTCTTATTTCTTTGTTTAATGTCTTGGGACATTTTAATAAAAAAGATAATAAATAACTGCATACGTAATTCCAATGACCAATTTTTCTCTCCATGATTGTGCCGTGTGTGAATTTTTGAGGGAAATGCAAACGTTATCATATTTTATTTACGATTGTTTGTTTGTGAAATATAAGGTAATTAGGTCAGACTGGTTCTTTTTATACTGCAGACTAAATGCACTAGATTTAATAAGATGCAAATGTAAACACGAACCGATCTTTTTAAGATCGATTCAAATAAAGATCGGTTTTATATCATGCAAGTGTAAATGGGGTCTTAGTGTTCATCGATTTACTTACTTTTTTTATTCACCGAATAACTAAAAACAAGCATTTTTCATATTTCAGGCAATGACAACCTTCACACTTTAACTTATTCAAATAAGTACATGCTACGTGTAGACCTAACAGATAGCTTTGGGAACCAGACATATGCAGAATACTACATTTTCAGAGTATCAGACGAGGCGGACAAATATAGACTGATTATTGGAGAATATTATGGTGATGCTGGTAAGTATGTGGAAACAGGATCGGTACATGGTAGATATATAGGAGATAAATAATATTTATGATGTTTGCTGCTCTGTTTTACAATAATAAGCTTTTTAAAAGACTGTTATAGATAATAAGTATAAAAAATAACGGAACCAAAAAAAGCAGAAGAAATGTTTGTTTTTAACCCCCATCCTCCTCACCACCCTTTTTAACGTTGTTATTTATCTTCTAGAAATTAAAATATTGTTCTGATATATGATATTTGCATGATTCATTTAAGGAATATATCTTCAAATGTTTGAATCCAATCAATTTATATTTAAGTAATATACAAGGATCTAGATGGGGTTTACATAATAGATTGATTGATTGTTGATTGCTTAAAGTCCAGTGGCAAATATTTCATACATATTCAGGACGAGAACAAATGAACAATTAATACAATAGTTAGGTCTTGTAATTGGCCTGTGCTGGATAAGGTCGGGGAAATTTCGACTGCCACTGAAAAATGAGGGTATAATGAATAGGGACCGAAATTAAGCCTTGCAACAGGCCACCAACGGACCCCTCAAAGAGTTGTTGCAAGGGTTATTAACGTACAAAGAGCGTGGCAGTCTCTCTAAACGAGGCATCGGATTTAACGTCCCCATTCTGACCGGACGTGGCTGCATACTTGATACATCCCGCACAGCCAAACGGCCGCCCCACTTTGACAAGGGTTTTACTGCCGGTCGGAAGAGGACCTGTAGTGACCATATTTCTATTCCCCAGTCACCCTTGGGGTATAGAATAAAGAATGATAGACCAATACTACAGAACATGGGCTAAAGAATAGAGAAAAAGAGAAAGAAAAAAAAACCCCTGAATAGGCAATAATAGAGTGCTAAAGTATAAATAGTAGAGAATATTACAGGCGAAAAATAAAACGATAAAATTTAAATACAAAACTTAAGGACACTCCATCCAGACCGTCCTATACTATTTTATATGAGTCATGTGATCTGATTATATATTTAATTCCAGGAGATGCTATGTACTATAATAACAACCAAATATTTCACACAAAGGATCAGGACTCCACAGTAGGATTTAATGGAAGAGTTTGTTCCCTTGACAGATATGCTGGCTTTTGGTTTGATAGGTGTACTTGGGCTAATCCGAATGGACGCTGGCTTCCGGGTATAGCAGCCTGGGATTCCATTCACTGGTACCAGTGGCTCAAGAATGAAGGCTTATCTAAAATTTCAATGAAAATCCGACGAAAATAAAGTTGTAGAAATTTGAGATTGTGCGCGTACCTATTGTTGAAACTATGCAATGTACTTGAAACTGTTTACATTGCATGTTAATAACATGTTGTTAGTAAAAAAAAAATTACTGAAAAGAAGAAAATGATAATGAACCAATGTTAAGGTGTTACTTGTTGTTAGTCTTATTTCTTACATAGTGTATCGGCAAAGCTAATATTGCAACATGATCTTGATTTAAAGGACTTTTTTGCCATTTTAATATAACACATTCTTCTATCACTAGTTTTCGATTATTGATTCACTAAGTGTTGTATACATCAGATGTCATCACAAATAAAGCACATGTTTGTTTAATTCGACAGTTGTAATTGCTTTACGTTTTTTTTCATTTCGGGGCCTTTTATAGCTTACTATGTGATGTGATTTGCTCACTATTGAAGGCCATACGGCGACCTATAGTTGTTAACTTCTAAGTTATTTGGTCTCTGGTGGAGAGTTGTACAATTGGCAATCATACCACATTTTATTTTTTATAGAAAATCAATATTTGATAAACAAAATTTTACTTGTTTCCATTTCTGTTCACCCGTTTTTCATTAATATTTATGACATGGTTTTTTAACCCGTATTTTTTTCCAGCGTAAGGTTTTATAGATATTTCTAATCTTATGTCCTGTAACTGGCATTATATGTATACCTAGTAGACAAGAAGATTCCTTTCCATTCGTTTTTCACTTAATATTACTTACATATTTTTTCTCTCGCATGTTTTGCCAGAATAAGTTTTTTTACAGATATTTCTGATTATGTCATGTAACTGTCAATGTATATATACCTGGAATGTATACATCGTGTCTGAAATTGTGTTGCAATGCACGGATGGTTTGTATACATTCTAGAAATTATGTTTCTGTTTCATTCATGAATTGACCAAATTTGACAAAACTAATGAACCAGAGATATATTGTCATAATTCATGCCTTGTTGACACGACTGTGCTTGTTGGAATAACTTTATACATTTCGGATTCAACCGTCTGATATATTTCACAAAGGACTTATCTAGAATTCTGAACACCTTAAAAAGCGTGTAAGACATCTTAAGAAAATACTAGTATACCAGACTCAAGTGTGAGGCAACAAAAAACGGATTCTTTATGCTCTAAAGACAATTATTTGTTTTTAATTGTTATTGTTATGTTATCCCACGCATATATTTCACATCTTAATGTATATTTTGAAATTACCAATTATACATATCAAATTTACTATAAATGTTTGATGATGACGTGCAAATTGGTATTCTAATGTATCAAATAAAAATATTTAAAAAATAGATTTATGAAATTATTTAACATGAATTACCTGCACAATTTGTGATTAGGACAAGAAAATAAATGTGTGCTTCTGATTACTAACTGAAAAAAAGAAAAAGATCAATTGTTGAATATGAATTCACTATGAACAACAAGTTTATTTATTTTGTAAAAACTATCTTCGTACTCCTGACAACAAAATTATTATATTTAAATTTATCTGTGTATGTTATTTTATTTAACGCCAGTGTCAAAGGTTATAGTTGTCATTTCGGTGTAATAATATCACTGTTTGCACCGAATTAAAAAAACATTATATATATTTTTCATGTTCATGATAATATGGCGTATGCGACACAATACACATTTTTGTCAAGATCGAGTAAGCAAAATTACTATAAAACATTTAATATTGGTTACCGATTGTTTGTCACGTGACATTTCGGATTGTAAACATTTGAAGTGCTCTAATAATAAATATGAAGGCAAACGCAAATCTAGATTTTTAAAATAATATATGAAAAATAAAGTTCTTTGGTGAAACACGAGGGCAAAAACAAAATGATGACTCGAAAATTATTTTTTTATATATGTAAAATTCAGATATTATGCCATTAAAACTAGCAACTATTAATGTAAACGGATTAGGATTAAAAAAGAAAAGACATTGTGTATTTCAATGGTTACTTAATAGAAATTACGATATTATGTTTACAAGAAACTCATTCTTGTACAGATACAACTGAAAAATGGAAAAGGGAATGGACAAATATTCGTGGGGGTAATAGCACTTGGAACTGCGATTCAAGTGACTCCCGTAGTGTAGCTATATTATTGAATAAAACATTTCAGTTCAATTTTACAGAAAGTCTTAAAGATGACCAAGGCAGATTGATTAATTTTGAAGTTTTAAACGAATACCTAAAATTATCATTACGATGCATTTATTCCCCGAATGACGGCGAACATAGAAAACGTTTTTTTCAAATCACTTTCATTTGATAATTTCGCTGAAAATGCTTTTCATTTAGTCTTAGGAAATTTTATTGTGTACCTGAGAAGGACGGTGATCGACGTCCGGTCCATTTTCGTAATGACATAGGTCATGACGTACTGAACTATATGATAAATAAAAACAATTTATGCGAAGCATGGAGAACTTTAAACCCTGAAGCTAGAAGGTATACCTTTAATAGGACTTATACAAAATCAAGAATTGATTACATGTTTGTCAGCAAAGATCTTCTTAATAGACCTTTTCAACAATTGTCTACATCTACAATTAAGAACGACTACGACAGGTGAGATATGAGGGGTCGTCTCAAAAATAAAATTTAGAAAAATAATATTGATCGCATATGATTATTTTGATTGCCAATTAGACAACTATCCAACTTGACGTGTATAAAAGTAATTGTTGTGTACCGTACCTTATTTTGTTGATAAAGTATTTGCTTATCAAAATTAAACTTATTTGTGAATTGACTATGAAGAAAAGGAAGGACTTCTATGTTTCATTTCTTTTAGACGTCGAGTTTGAAAATGAAAAAAAAAAAACAAAAAACAAACCTGTATTTTTGTAGTAGATTTTTAATTAATCAATATTTTATGTCTGTTGACAAGGGCGGTACATGTTTCTACAATGTCTGTTAATTTTGGCTTCGGATGCCTCAATGGTACTCATTACTTTATTTCTTTTTAATTCACCAATTTGATGTTCAACTTGAAATCGATATTCAGCGACAATGTAATTTAAATTTCGACTTTTTCTCTTTAAATTGTCCGGTTTACTGTGCCGTCGCTGGACCTGAGCCCCGGCAACCAGATGCCGTAGCGGACAAGAGAGAGGTGGAAGCTGATGAATTGCCTCGCCCTAATGTTGTACGACCAAAACAAACTTAAAACAAAATAGCCCAAACAGCCTCATTCGCGAGAATCAGCTGGACTACAATAAATTCATAACAAAATAGATACCAAGCTTTTTAAAGGCCCTTGGTGTCTCTTCTGATTCAGATTCAGATTCAAATCGTAAGATTTTTTTTTCGTTCTCTTGCTATTTTTATGACTTCCGCAGTAGGAAAAAATCACACAATGCAACATATAAAACAGACATTCAGAGTTACCGCATGGTCTGCATTTTGCATTTTGCATTTTGCATTTAAAGACCCCCATCCCAAACTCCAAAAAAGAAAAAAAAGGAAACAAAGTTACTATCTTTGATCGAATAAAAAGGAAATAAATATAAGAGCGAAGCATAATGTCAAAGTATCAAATTGTAAACTAAAAATCCTATTGTGACAAAAACTTACCAATTGCAATGACCAACTTGTTCAGGAATTGTTTCAGGAGCATAAAACATGCGACGGGGTTTTACTAGTTTATATGGATCTAAAACCTCCCCTATGTATGGTCAGAGATGAAATTTAAAAACCATTATGCATGGCAAAAATAGAAAAGAGTAGAAAACCAAAGCTATGTCCTGAAAGGGGAAGGGAAGGCAGTTCTCGCTTCTTGCCAGACACACGAAGGTCATTTTTCTGGAACAGGGAAAGGAATCTACGACAAAGGGACAAGGTATGTTGTCTTTAGGGACACGGACAACCTATAACGATCAATCAGTTCGGAACTTTCCAAAAAGACACTGCAATGAAAACAAGCTCTGTCAGATATAAATACCATACGCATCTCTGAAGAGACATTTATTGTCAAAATGCGCATGTGGCGCAGAAAAAAATGGTGCCGTTAATGTTTCCAGTTCATTAAGGAAACATCTCAACTTTAACATGGTATTTTAAAGCGGAGTAGTCCCTCGTAACTAAATTATCGATGTGGCCTTTTCCTTTGACCTTTAAACCAATAGGCTTTTACCCCTCCCAAAATTGAATGTGTACAAAAAGTAACGTGAAGATCGGTTGTGACAGACAAACTCTAGCGGACAGACGGCAGTCCTGTTACAATGTTCAATCCGCAAATTTCATAAATAGCATTACAAAAACGAATTAATCGCCATTGGCATGTGGAACAATCTGCATTGACAGACTCGCTTATCTAAATACTCACATAATAACATTTAAGTAGAAAAAAGGCAGATTACGATGTGAAATGATTGCAGTAATTATATACTTGAAGGTTTAATAAATTCAACGTAAAATGTTGTATAAATACATGTAACTATAATGTTATACAAAAGAGAGAGATATAATTCATTTTTGTTTGAAATATGTTCTTTCGTCAAAATAGTGTAAAACGATAAATCGAAGGTGAAAACGTAATACTATTCACGAATGATTTTCAATTTTGAGACGACCCATTCATTTTACCTGTAAACTGTAGGTGTCATTAGTCGGTGTCGAGAGTTGTACGACTTTGCCCCCAGCAGAGCTATAGAAAAACAGTACATTAACGGGTGTTACACGGACACTTTTTAGATGATACACGGACACTTTTTAGTTGTTACACGGACACTTTTTATGAATAGAATCACTCGTGCATGATCAGTGAGTTCATGGGCACTTTAAATTTTAATTAGATTTGAACTTTTTGTTTCACCGACATATTTCCTGTCTTTTTAATTAAAATATTTACGTTAGCATCAATAACTATATTTTTTTCAAACAATTCCAGTAACTATTCATATTAGTACACTAAGGGATTGACCATTTAACATTTAAAAAAACATTTTGATCCCAATTTTATGAGAAAAAATATATAATATATTATATAGTTGAAAAACTAAAAAATGTTCTTACTCAGAAAAGAACACACCCCCTTTTGAAGCTAAATGGTCGGTCCGTAAATGTTTTTTTTTTTTCAATATATGAATAGTATTCTGGACAATGCTGAAAGAAATGCTGGTACCAACGTTTATACTTCAATAAAAAAGACAGGAAATATATATAAAAAAATCAAATATAATCAAAAGATAAAATCCCTATCAACTCACCAATGCACGATTGATCCTAACTAAATAAAAAGAGTTCGTGTAATACATGTTCAAATAGGCAGCAAATCTGGAAGAAAATCATTCAACTTATGTCATCAATTTTGGACGGTAAGCTCTGATTGGATCATATAATGACACGTGTTTAATCCTGATCAACACTATCAGAGACATATAAAAACCTATAATCATCATTTGTAATCCATTCATAACATTTCATTCATTAATGAGATAGGAAATTCATTCTTTTGATACACTTATATTGTTATTGAATTCATATTTTTTTAATTCATATATTTGGCGGCAAACTTACGATTTTTACGAATTTTTTAGAGGGATTTGGGGGGGGGGGAGGGGGGGGGGGCTTGAATGGCACATCCTGCATTCTTTCAACAAAAAAAGGATGAAGCCTGTTTATTTTAAATTTATTTTAACCCCCCCTTTTCCCCAAATAAAAATCAAATGGAAGCTTGCTTACCTCTGAAATCTTTTTTTATACATTACTTACTTGCGAAGTTGCATTTCAAAAATTCTCAAATGTGTATAACATTCACCTTTAACTTGAAATGATTCTTTTTATAAAGTTATTAGATTCTTGAATTTTTTGAGAAAAAAACTCTCGGCTGAAGGGAAGTGAGAAAAAAAATGGGTTTAAACTGTAACTTACATTAACTGGTACATGGCCATTTAAGTTTCTAATATCTTTAGTTTTGCTACCTCTTCTAAATGCAAAATGTACTTCTTCCTTCTTGAAACGTCGTACAAGTCAGATACAAAACAAAGGTAACTAAAAACAGGCCGGAAACAACCTGCCGTATAGTTTGTCTGCACTTGTAGTCAGGTCAAGGTCCTCGGCTATCGCCTCGGACCTTGACCTGACTACTCGTGCAGAAAAACTATCCGGCAACGGTTGTTACCGGCCTGTTTCTTTGTTACCTTTGTATTGTATCTAATACTTGTTGAAAAGGTCTATTAGACGTGTTAGGAAAGTCAATACTATTTTGACGCTGATGTTAAATACCAATACCACTACAGGCTATAGTGGGGTCCATCTCAAAAAGCACAGATAATCCTTTATTATAGTTACCTGTATGGGTTTGTTTGATAATGCTGAGATGATTTTTAAACAATGAAATAGTAACAATTTATTCCGCAATACACGGACGAGGATCCAGCAAAAGAACACGATCATTATTCTTAAAATTGCATTGTTTCATGGTAGTGATCGATTAGGTTTATGTTATATAATAAGATCGTTTTTCCCCATTTCTTACTATTTTG